AGAGTCAGATAATGAAAAGTAAGGATTATTCTTCCATTGGGAGAAAGACAAGAAACAGCAGGCTTTTAGAGACAGACAAGATCATTGAGTGAATTAAAGTAGAAGCTCGTCGACATAAAATAGTTTCTGGTCAACATGCTGAAGTCATTTGGGAAAAGGGAACCTCAGTTAGGAAATGCCACCACCAGGTTAGGCTTTGGAGGCATTTCCTTGATTAATGGTTGATGTGGGAGGGCTCAGCCCACTGCGGCATTACTGCCCCTGGGCCGGTGGTTCTGGGCTATAGGAAAAAGCAGACTGAACATCCAGTCTCTGCACCCACCCTGCACACCTTCTCCGGAGTCTAATGACTCTGCCGGACCATTCTGAACCCTCCAGACGCAGCCCAGGTCCCAGATCCAGTGCCCTGGCTTAATCTGGCCACACCTGCCTGCACTACAACCACTCTCTAGACCAGGCCCCTCCCACACCACATCCAACCTCTCCACCCACACAGATCGACCCCCACAGTCTAGGTTTGGAGCAAGATGCACATCCTCCACACCAGCCCCCTCCCCTCTGGCCACCTAAGCCTTTTCCAACCTCCAAGCCCAACCAGCCTGCACATCTGTCCCAACCTGCTCTGTCCACATCAGACAGAGAACGCACAAAAGAAGTCCACATGCTCAGATCTCATCAAGAAAATACAAACAACATGAACGATCAGTCCAGGATCTCCCCCCACACCCTACCAGTCCTGTAGACATATTTGCCAATGAAAATTACTTAGGTGTGGGGAGAGCGGGGGAGGACGGGAGGGAGAGGGAACTGGAATTGGCATGTGAAACAAGCTTGTTTCTAACTTAAATAAAAAATAAATATATGAATTTTAAAAAAAGAAAAAGAAAATTACTTAGGCGAAGCCCAGAACACAGAATTAGAACCAACCATGGACTTTATCTAATAATTCATAGAGTTTAAGGATGACACAAAGAGACAGCTCAATGAAATTAAAAACTTAAGGGGACTAAATGCCTGGGTGATGCCCAAGAAGATATGAGCAAGGTTGATGGAAATGAAGACAATCCAGGACTCGAGAGCAGAATTCATTGCAGAGACAGAAACACTGAAGAGGACTCAAGCTGAAATGAGGATGGAAATGAAAAACCCAGCAAGTCAAGCAGAAAGCTCAAAGGAACGCTCTACACACAGAAGAAAAGTAGAAGATCCGAGCCAAGGGGCATGAAAAAATTTAAAACCACGGGAAAGGGGCGTACAGGAAACATGGGTCATCATGTAAAACCAAACCTTCAAATCACAGGCATCGATGAGAAGGAAGAATCCCAAGTCAATGGCATAGAGCAGGTCTTCAACACGATCATGGATGACAACTTCCCCAAACAAAGAAAAGATGTACAGATACAGAGCACCAAACAGATAAGATCAGAAAGAAAATCCCCCTGGTGTAAGTATACAGAGCAAAGAAAGTGCCTAGAAAACTGCAAGGAAAAAAAAAGTTGCATACAATGGAAAACCCATCAAAATAACAGCTGATTCCTCAGTGGGAACTCTGAGAGGCAGGAAGGGCCTGGAGCAGTAAGTGCAGTCCCAAAAGATCTGCTGCCCAACCTAGACTAACACACCCAGAAAAACTATTCACCATAGTCGAAGGAGAAAGAAAAACTTCCCGGGATATAAATAGCCTAGAAAAGGGTACACCCAACAAATTAAGCCTAAAACATATGTAGGAAGCAATATTTCAGGCCGCAGAAAGAAATGGGCAAATCCAAGAGACTGTGGAAGGAAATACAAAGCCATAATTGCCACCACTGAGAAGACAAACACCACCGCTCAAAATCAACAGTGCAATCACTGCAATTAACAAGCACACGTTTTCGATAACAACTTTAAATATCCATGGCCTCAATTCTCTGGTCAAAAGGAACAGGCTGCCTTAGTTACTGTTCTACTGCTGTGCAAACATGATGACCAAGGCAATTCACAAAGGAATTTAACTGGGCGCTTGCTTACATTGCCAGAGGGCTGGTCCATGACCATCGCAGCACGAAGCATGGGGGCAGGAAGGGCACTGAAGAAAAAGCTGAGAGTTTACCTTCTGATCTGCAGACAGAAGGCTGAAAGAAAGCAAGACTGGGCTTAGCCCCGGCTTGTGAAACTTCATTGCTCACCCCCAGTGATGCACCTCCTCCAACAAGGCCACACCTCCTCATCCTTCCCAAACAGTTCCACCACCTGGGAACCAAACATCCAAACATAGGAGCCTACAGGGGCCATTCTCATTCAAAACACCACACAGACTGGCTGAATGGATGGATCCAGAAACAAAATCTATTGTCTACAAGCAATACATGCCTGGGTCTGAGAAGAAATCAAGAAAGAATTTTTTAAAGGTTTTTTTTTTTTTCCTGGAATGAAATGAAAATGAAAACACCACACAATCAAACCTCTGGGACACGAGAAAACAGCCCACTGCCAGGGTGGGAACTGGAGGGTGGGGAGCAATGGAGAGAGGAACAGCTGGGTATAGTGATCTGATAGGGTAAATGGGAAAGGCAAGGAGGTGTGCTGATATCTTTCTTGCACAAATAAAGCCTGTCTGGGGGTCAGAGAATGGAGCTTGCCACTAGGTAACCATAGAGGTCTGGAGATCTGTACAGACAGGCAGGAAGTGACACAGCTGGGCAGAAACAGGATATAAGCAGGGAGAAACAGGAAATCGCTCTCTTCTCTGCTGAGACGCTTAGGAGATGAGGTGTTCTGTGGCTGCTCCTTCTCTCTGATCTCTCAGCCTTTCCCTCTATATCTGACTCCGGCTTTTTATTATAGAGACCAATTAAGAACTCCATTTACAAGGAGGGGGATCTAAATAGGGAGGGGTGAGAAAGAGGGGGAAAAGTAACAGTAAATATGTCTGAAAAGGTTATAAGGAGTCATATTTTTAACTATTTACCTAAAAATATCAATAAAATATTTAAGTCGGTATATACAAAATAGTATAAATAGTATAAATGAATTTTTCCCATCTGATCTAAGAAGGCTGTCTCCAAGGGCAAGGACCATCTACCAAACCCAGGCATGAGACGCCCTGGATGATGGAACAGATTCACGCAACTAGTATTGGAAAGGAGGTCTAGATATTAATTTCGAGCAATCACTTACACGAACAGCCGGGTCAGCGCTCCATGGTCTCCAAACCGCGGTCAGGATCCAGGAGAGCGAGAGCGCCCACCTGTTCCTTCTTTCGTCCCGAATCTTCCCACATCCCCGTGGCCATGCCCAAGGGGGCGTGGTCAGCTGCAGGTACCCGGTCTCTCCCTACAGACCCTCTATGGGGTTGACCAGTGTTGTATGAGACTCCCCAACACATTACAGGCTATTGCTGTTGCCTTTGGTTGCCCCCGAGAGGCGAAAACGAAGTCCCTATTGCCGAAGACACCATGCACTTCAGAAACAGAGCCCAGAGGCCCCTGAGCTGAAAGTGATCTGAGTGTCCCTCCCTGAGGTCTGGCTTTCATGGAACCAAAAGGTGTTGTGCAAGCTTCCAAAGAAGGAAAACAACCAACAGGCCCACCTAACTAAGATGCCTAGGGATTGCACGGGCACCCAGCATGGCCTGACAACTCTACGGGTGCACATACCTTGTCAGTAACCAGCAACTGCCTAGTTGGACTTAAGACCCACACTCAAGAAGAGGGAAATCAAGTCTTCTTCCAGAAACCCAGCCAGCCAGCTACCCAGGGCTACAGAAGTAACGGACCTTGGAGGAGAACCTCCTATTGATTCTGGTGACATTTTGTTCATGATGTTGCCTGAAGATCAGAGTGCAGAGCTAAGCCGCTGGTTAGCCACACACCTAATTAAGAGCTAAGCCACTGGTTAGCCACACACACTATAAGCCACTAGTTGACCACAGAGGACAGGCAGTGGGGGCCACACGTTTAATCTCAGCCCTTGGGAGGCAGAGGCAGATGGATCTCTGTGAGTTCAAGGTCACCCTGGGTTACATGAGAGTGACTCAGTCTAAAAGAGAAACAGAGCTCACGCCTTTAATCCCAACACTGGAGAGGAATATAAGGCAGGAGCTCAGTGCAGTCTGAGGTTTGGTGGAGAGCATTGCAGTCTGCAGTCACGCTGAGGACAGGAGTGTGTGTGTGTGTGTGTGTGTGTGTGTGTCCCTGTCTCACCCTCACCCTCCCCATCCCTGTAATCCCCCCTTCCCACCTTGGTCTTAGCCTTGGTAAAGGTAAGAAGTCTCTAGTGGCTTGGCTGTTTTTCTTTTCTGATATTCAGCTTGAGTCCCAATATCTGTCTCTGGATTTTTATTATTCGTGCTACAACCGAGGGCTGGGCTGATCCAAGGCTTTCCCTGAGACCCTGATGCTGGAGAAGGAACACAGGAGTACACTTGGCAGAGATGGAAGGCTTCAGATCCTGAGAGCCCACCTCTTCCCACAGTGTGGGGGCTGTGGTTATCAGTCCCAAGGCTGCTCTGTGCCCAGACTGTGATGCTCTGGAGATACCCTGTGGTCCCTTGTGCAACACTGTTTGATTAGCTTCTTGTTGACTTCATCCCATTGTATGATAGCTTCTGCTGTCTCTGTCCCATTTCTTACCCCTGAAAATAGTATATAAGGTGCTGTATTTCTTAGTAAGCTTGCTTGGCATAAAACACGGCTAATACAAGACGTCCAGATGCCAAACTTTCCTGTATTCTTCTTTATCTCCTCATCTCCTGACCACATCCCACGTAGGACTCTGTCATTGAAGAATAACCTACTGGTCCAGGTCAATCTACAGCTACCACTGTAATAAACCCACAGAATTCCTAACTACAATCTCAATATTTGTTCTCATAGCCACAGATGGGCGCAGTCCTCGCCCCTCATCAAGGATACTTCTCCTTATAACAGATGGAGATCGCTACAGAAGACCACAACCAATCGAAATGCAGACGCTAGCTCCATGTCGTCCCTAGAAAACCAGAAGCAGTGTGTACTTACCCGCTCCTGGCCAGCAGTGTCCCAGATGAGGAATTTGTGAAGTTCATTTCCACAAGGCACAGTTTTGGTCATAAAAGATGCCCTGAAAAGAGAGTCAGCCCTCTGTATTATCAAACCTCCACAGAAACTCACGAACCCAAGTCAATGTTAAGAAGACCCACCCCCCAAGACCTCTTGTCCCCTAGGAAGCAGTAATGAGATCTGTGCCTGCCACTGTAAATAAAATAGTCTGCATTTTATGTAATCCAGTTTCAAAGCAAAAAGAATGGGAGGGCTGGATGGAGGGCTCAGTGGTTAGGAGCATCGGCTGCTCTTGCAGAGGATCCGAGTTTGGGTCCCAGAACTTACAGGGCAGCTCACAGCCATCTTTACTCCAGTTCTAGGGGATGCAATGCCTACTGGCTTCCTCAGACACTGCACGCATATGCTGTGCATACACACACGCAGACAAATGCTCATACCCGTAAAATAAACATAAAATCTTTAAAAGAAAATGCATACAGAAACAGACACAACTGTCCTAGAATAATACTCTCTAGATGTCAGGGAAAGTTAAATATTTAACCATGGATATTAAAGTCATAAAAAGTGTGAGGGAGGAAATGTCTTATTTTATGACTTTAAGACTTTGACATCAAAACAGCGTAAACGGAATGCTATCTTAGCGTACTCCCTTGTAGAATATTAATTTAAGTGTGCTGCTTTTGCTTATGCTCTGGGACGTTTGTTTAATGATGCAAAATTGTGTTTGGTTAAATAAAATTCACTTGCAGTCAGGAGGCTGGGTCAGCAACTGACAGGAAGTTGTGGGGAGTTGCCAGGTGGAGAAGGTTTATAAGGAGGGGTGAGACATGCATGAGAACTTCTTGAGACACAGGAGGAGGTGAGCTACTTGCTAGTCAGCTTCTCTGGGAAGCAGGATTCTACCTCAGCCCTTGAATCTTGGTTTCTTTAGCAGGACAGAGATTTAAATAAGTTTCCTTAGTAGCTTTGGAAGAGTCAGAGCCTCAGGGAACAGAGCTCCCTCAGGCTTCAGCTCATGAGGCCTAGCCGCTGCTGGTAGCAATGGAGTTGCAGTTTCTGAGTAGGATAACTTAAAAGGGAATAATTTCAAAAGTAAAACAACATATTCCCTGTGCTGACATGAATTCAATACTAGCAGCAAGTACATAAAAATATAGCCAAATCTCAACCTGTCTGAATAAATGTAGGGATTGTCTTAGTTAAGGTTTCTATTGCTTTGATAAAACACTATGACCAAAACAGCTTAGGGAGAAAAAGAGGGGTTTATCTGGCTTAAACTCCCACATCTCTGTTCATCTTTGAAGGAAGTCAGGACAGGAACTTAAGCAGGGCAGGAATGTGGAGGGAGGAGCTGATGCAGAGGCCGTGGAGGGTGCTGCTTACTGGCTTGCTCCCCATGGCTTGCTCAAACTGCTTTCTTACAGAACCCAGGACCTCCATCCCAGGGATAGCATCACCCACCATGGGCTGGACCCTCCTACATCAATCACTAATTTTAAAAAATGCACTTCAGGCTTGCCTACAGCCCAGTATTATGGAGGCGTCTTCTCAATGGGAGAGTCCCTCCTCTCAGATGGCTCTAGCCTGTGTCACGTTGACACTAAGCTAGCCAGCATGGGGATGGATAACAAAAACATGTGCATGCTTCTACCAAAAAAGAAGTACCTTAAGGCTATCAGCAAATCATAAAACACTGGCTTTTCCTTTTACCTCTTTTCTCGGAACAAGCATTTTCTTTGTGATCATGAGCGTTGTAAAAAAAACCCACAGAATATATAATGCCCTCTCTGCTGTGCACAAAAGTTTCCCATTCATTAAAAAACTGGAAGTCGTGCCAGCATCCTGACAAGTTATGAGAAGCTCCTGGGATGGCTAAGAAACACCCACATCCACCTGTGTGGATTCCGCCAAAGATGGTGTGGTGGTCCGAACGTAATTGGCCCCCATAAGCTCACAGGGAGTGGCACTGTGGGGAGGCGTGGCCTTGCTGGAGAGGGTGTGGCCTTGTTGGAGTGGGTGTGGCCTTGCTGGAGTGGGTGTGGCCTTGCTGGAGGAAGTGTGTCACTGTGGGGCTGGGCTTTGAGGTCTCCTATGCTAAAGCCCAATGTGACAGTTCACTTCCCATTGCTTCAGATCAAGAGGTAGGACTCTCGGCTCCTTCTCCAGCACCATGTCTGCCTGCACGCCGCCATGTCCCACCGTGGTGATGATGGACTAAACCTCTGAGCCCGTAAGCCACCTTATTAAATGCTCTCCTTCATAAGAGTCGCCATGGGTCATGGTGTCTCCTCACAGCAATAGAAACCCTAGGACAGAAGTTTAGTCTGGATGTCTTCATAAGGTAGCAAGCAGGGAAGTTTAGGATGAGGGTCATTCAATAAGTCAACTGACATGGAATAGCATGGAAAAGAAAATGAAGAGCCAGGAGATTTTTCTAGAGTCTAAACTAAAAGAAAAGCAATATCAGGAATAGGAAGGAGCCTTGGCGATATTCTGGATTCTGGAAAGAGTTTCCAAGAGTGTTTTGAGAACATTTAGAGGAGCTGGGCTAATGGCATGTAGTATTTAACATAAATATTCGCTGTCATGAATGAGGTCCTGTGCTCAATTTTCAGTACTGAAAAAATGAAAATCAAAACCGATGACAGTTAGCCACACGGGGGATTGGACTACGCGTGAGGCGCTGCCCGTATCCTCTGATCCAGCATGGTCCAGCACAGAGCTCAACAGTGCCCTCTGGGCTCATCACAGCCCTGTGCCTTCCACCTGGGGCTCTCCTCAGACTAGGAGACTGACCTCATCACAGCCCTGTGCCTTCCACCTGGGGCTCTCCTCAGACTAGGAGACTGACTGCAGAAACCCCAGTACGCCACCAACACACACGCTCACCCCCGCGGTCAACATCTGGCATTTGGTGACCAACCCATGAAGCGAAGGGAAAGTCTAGGGTCCTGTGGGACACAAGTCAGTGTCATCATCTATTCATTCCCCTTTAACGGACTTACTAAAGACCTTCCAGACCATGTATGAGAGCAAATGGGCTTAAAAACAGGTCCTTACTCTTTCCCTCACACACACACAAAAGGAAATTCAAGAAATGAAAATCAAGAAGGAAATAAAAAATCGACACCCCCCCAGTTTAGCACCAAGCCATGACTACTGCTAGTAAGCCCATCCTCAGCTGTCTTTATAGAAACTTTTAACTGGAGAGAGGATAGTGCTCTGTGTGATGTTAGCCTTCTCACTTTATACCCCCTGAACCTTCCCATTTCGATGAACACCAATCAATCTCACCGTCTAAAATGACTGAATGTTGCACACCATGTTATTGGTCTATTCAGAGTTCCACGGTGGATGCTGTGTCCTTTTATAACTGTTTCCACAGAGTTAATTCTTTTATTTTTTTCATTTATTTATTTATTTGTTTGTTTGTTTAGTTAGTTAGTTAGTTAGTTGTGGGGTGATTTCTGAGGCTGGCCACTGGATTGCAGCTGTAATCGCTAACCACCTGCTCTACCACTGAGCTATACCTCCTTATCAAGGCCCTCGAGTCATCCCTGACCTCCACATCCACACTGTGGCATGCATGCAAACACCACTCTCTCCCTATAAGTACTCTTTATAATATAATAAAACAACTGCTGTGGGAAAGAAGACGTCTACACAGAGCTGGTGCATGCGTGATCATGCATGCAGACTGTGCAGGGAGCTCAGGGACGCAGTTTCATGCCTGGACAGAGCCCACGGCGTAGCCATGTTTTGTAATCTGCGTGACTACTGGTATGAGTCACTGAGGTGACGTGGCCTATTGCTTCTGATGCAGGGGTGAAGTCCTCTTACAAATGTGACTTCAGTGGGAGGAACAGGGTAGGCTTTGAGAACAGACTCACTTGGTTTTGGTGGTGCTGGGATCAAACTCACACTACACAGTACTACTATCCTGAAGCCACACCCCCAGCCCTGCCTGGCTCTATCTGAGTCAAGACTGCAGCTCTGTGACCACCTGTGTGCTCCAATCCGTGGAAACCAACACAATTAACCCCTGGGCCAGGGACATGGACTGAAACACCCATGGGATCGGGCAGGAGATGTAATCCAGCAAGGCAGATGAAGTGAGACAACTATACTGACAAAAACATCGGTAATGATTAGCCATAGGAAATCCGGAAACTGGAGAATCTATCACCCCGTAGCATGTGCCCCACTCTGGCTGGCCAGGCAGGGGGCCACACCCCATGGCTCACACACCCAGGGATCTCTCAAGAAAAACCAGAAGCACCAAGTCTCTCTATCCTTCAACACTGGCGGTAGCGGAGAGACACCTAAGGGGGCAGTGGAGCACACCTGGGTGTGTCTGCGAGGGAATTCCCAGAACTGCTGGATCCTGAGGACTCTGGCTCCTTTGAAGGGTTAGTCACACGGTAGCATTAATAAAGAGTAGTTGGTGAGGTCCGGGGGGGATGGAGTGGGTCACAGAGGCCGTGTCCCTAGCCTCTGCCTGTGTCATCTTTCCCTGTTTCCCGGTCACTACGACGCGAACAATAGCTCATCTCCACTGTGTGCTTCCGCTGCCGTGGTGTTCTGTCCAAGCATACGAAGCCAGGCCGCCACGGACTGAGCCCTCGCAGCCGTGAGCCACAATAACCCCTCCTCCTTTAAGTTGCCTTGTCAGCTATGTGTTTACTGCAGAGAGGACAGCAACTGATATGTGGGCTTAAAAATTTCTAAAGTGCCATAAAAGCTAAACAAAAATGAGGCCTCAGGCCAGAATTCTGGCTCACCGAGTTAACACCATCTAGTGTAGGTAATCTATCTATCAAGCTTTTGGAAATTAAGAATTCCATTTTACAAAAAAAAAAAAGAATTCCATTTCCATCATCTTCCAGTAAGTCTATGGTTTACTTAGGAAGTATTCCTGATAGCCTCATTTTTTTTTTCTGAAACTGGAGCTTGGAAAGATCCTCTCAAAATTCCAAAAGAGAAAATTTGAGTGTAAGGTAACTATGTCAGGAAAAGCCTTCCATATTCTTAAGCACACAGGAGAGCTGAAACTTCCTGCCACCAGGGGACAGTGAGGAGCAAAGCAGGCAGGAAGTAGAGTAGCTCCCATGAGACGCTGCAGCTCCCAGAAGGCACTGCAGCTCCCAGAAGGCATCACAACCACCAGAAACTGAGTTGTCACAGTAAACTTAAACTGGGGGGCTCGGTGCTCAGCGTTAGATTTTTCCAATCTACAGTGGTCAACTTTTCTGGGGAATTAAAGCCAGGCCACCCACCAGGAGCTGACAATGCACAGCGTCTCCCATCTGGAGATAAAGGCAGCCTGCTTTTCAGGTCCCTGGTCTTGATAGTCAAGAAAACAGTCTTGTCCTTCGAGAGGAAGAAGGTTGACAAGAATGGCCCTAAATTTCAGGAGTTGAAAATCAATTCTCTTCTGGAGTTGAAAATCAATTCTCATTGTGGAGTGGGAAGTGATTGCCCTAAAGAGAAGGGATGTCAAAAAAAGAAACACGCCGTCGCTTACCCAATGGTGGGGCTAATGTTGTGGTCAAAGTGGTCCTGGACAAACCGACACACAATGCTTGATTTCCCGACACCCGTGTCCTAGAAGAGAATGAAAGCATGGCCGTGAGGACCCGCCAGCTCTGACCTGGAGCGAACACGTGACAGATCTGCAGGAGCACATGTGTGGCATCCGCCCACCACATTGTTAGACAGAGAGCTGAGCTTTTCTTTGTTTTTTTCAAAGTCACACTGTCAAGCTAATCTGCCTCTCTAGGCAATACCCTGGAAGACCTCTAAGCTCCAATTTCCCCATTTCCAGGGCTATCTTAGAACATGATGACCGGACATAAACCTCTGGCTTTGTTGAAGTCTGTAAAGATCTCACATCAGATCTTTCTTGACTCAACAGTTCTTTAAGGCTGGTCAAGGCAGGGATCCCTTACATGACGGAAATCAAGCACAGACAGCAGTCTCTGCCTCCTTCCTAAACCCTTGCAAAGTGGTTTAGGGAACCACAGACACAGATTCACAAAGGCAAAGCCAACAGTGTCTGGAGGGACAGCTCATGCCTGAGACTCGGGTAACAGCAGGCCATTGAGGGCATGGCTGGAACACGTGTCACGGGAAGGCCCTCCATGAAGCCAGGGAGGGCTGCCTTTCAGGAAACCGGGCCTTAAGACATCAGGCACGTGCAGGAAGGAAGAGGCTACAGGAGCTTAGGCAGAAGCCCCCGCTGGGTAGAGGGGGAAGCCCCACATATACAGGCACCAGGATCTCCCAATTAAAGGGCATTGTGTGCTCCAGCTAACAACCCCGGAGCTTTCAACACACTAGGGACTGAGGCTATGAGACAAGGAACCCTTCCCTGCTTTGACCTGCTCATCACAGGCGTTTTTCCGTAGAAACGAAAAGCCTGGCTAACCCAGATACCTTAGAGATATATAAGGGATGCATATGGCGTCCCAAGTCAGAGGTGTGACCTGGTTTGTTCATTTCCTTGTTTATTCACTTATTATGAGACAGTGTTTGTGGCCCAAGCCGGTCTCAAGCTCCCTAGGCAGATAAGGTGACCCTAAACGGACCCTCCTATCCTCTCCAAGTGCTAGGATTGCAAGGGTGATGCACCGCCAGGCAGCCTTGCTTACAGCTCCCTAGGGGTCAAACCCAGGGCCTCCTGCACCTCACACTCCGCTCCGACCCACCAACCCAGTGACATTCCCAACTCCTAAAGGTGGGAATTTTTGTTTTGTTTTGTTTTCTGAGGCAGGGTTTCTCTGTGTGGCTTTGGCTGTTCTGGAACTCACCCTGTAGACCAGGCTGGCCTCTAAAGGCATGTGTGCCACCACTGCCCAGCTTAGAGGTGTGATTTTAAAAGCCCAAAGTTAGAGGCTGGTGCCGTGGCTCAGTAGTTAACAACGCTTGCTGCTCTTGTGGAGGACCTGTGGCTCAGTGCCAAGAACCAGCACAACAGCTCACAACCATCTGGAATCCCAGTTCCAGGGGTTTCAGCACCCGATTCTGGCCTCAACAGGCGCTGTGCGCACACACTGTGCACATAAAATACATGTGGGCAAAACGTTCATACATTTTAAGTATTCTAATCGAGGGTCGGATGAAATGACACACACAGAGTGTGTGCCATCAAGCCCAAAGAACCAAGTTTAATTCCCAGGACGTGCGTGGTGGAAGAGAACTCCCTCAAGCTGTCCTCCGACATACGGATGGGCTTGCTGCTCGAGCCGGCGTCTCCCCGGGGCCACCTGCGGAAGGCGAGCAGTGGACTCCGTGGTTGTAAGAGGGTAGTCTGAGGGCTGAGCTGCAGGCAGGCTCTGCTGGGCTGAGCTGTGGCCCGGGGACAGGGGGTCAGAGCAGAGCCCCCAGGACTCTGAATGTGTGCTCCCTGGGTGAGCATCACAACTGAGAAGATGCAGTGCCTGTCATGGCGGGCGCACGGCAGGAGCGGAATCGCCACTACACCCTGAGAGTCAGGCCAGACTAAAAGAACGAAGGCCTCGGGCCAGGAGGACTATGGGCATTTCCAGGAGGTCATTTTAGGGTAGGATGGGGTGAGCTCAGTGTGACCTGAAAACGTGAGGGAGGTCGGGTGGAGAGTCTGCTCCAGAGCCCTAGGTGCTGGGGTTGGACTTGCGCAAGCACCTCAGAGAAAGCAGACAGTCTCTGAGGGGCACCCGGAACGTCTCTGTGGGCGGCACACGGAGCATCTCTGGGAATCCCCAACCCCCCCCCCTGCAGGCTAGGAAGGGTACTGTGTCATCCCCCACCAATGGAGTGTGCAAACCAGGGAGGCACTGACTTCCGTTGCCAGTGGAGTGGAGCGTACTGTTGTGTGGAGAAGGCAGGACTTGGGGAGTGTTTATTGGATGATGAAGAATGAATATCAGTGGGAGATTCCCTGAGAAAGAATTCTTAAACCACGAACCCTGATGTTAAAAAAGAAAAGGGGGGGTTGGGTACAGACAGGGTGATGGCCCCGCCCGCCCGTGTTGCAGCCCGAACACAGTTGCTTCCTGGAGGAATGCTTGCAGAATGGGGTGCTTTCTGCCCTCCCGGGCAGGGCAGAGCAGGGCAGGGTGTTGCAGCTGTGTAGTTTCCGTTTCTCTGGGGGTGGCATGGGTGGAGAAGTCCATCTGTAGGAAGGGCTTAAGACAGCTGAAGAGGCCACATGAGCTGTCACTAGGAGGGTGGAGAGGAGACCTGAGCCAGAGCCCACGGGAAAGTGCGGGCCAAAGGCAGCAGGCATTGATCAGAGTCTTAATGTTTTAATTAATTAGTATTCTCTCTTACTCCGGCTTGTTCCCCCCCCCTCAAGTTTTCAAGTCACCCCTCTCTACCCTAAAACTACCTCCTGGAAATGCCCATAGTCCTCCTGGCCCGAGGCCTTCGTTCTTTTAGTCTGGCCTGACTCTCAGGGTGTAGTGGCGTCTCCACTCCTGCCGTGCGCCCGCCATGACAGGCGCTGCATCTTCTCAGTTGTGATGCTCACCCAGGGAGCACACATTCAGAGTCCTGGGGGCTCTGCTCTGACCCCTGTCCCCGGTCCACAGCTCAGCCCAGCAGAGCCTGCCTGCAGCTCAGCCCTCAGACTACCCTCTTACAACCACGGAGTCCACTGCTCGCCTTCTGCAGGTGGTCCCGGCTCTTGTGGCCGGCTCGAGCAGCAAGCCGGCTCAAACGGGTCTGGATACCTGTCAAACGTTCACTTTATCCCATCTTGCTTTCATGGTTTGTTTGACTTAATATCTACCGCTTGTACATTTCAAACTCAAGATAAAACAAAATATATTAATTTTAATTTGGCTAGGAAATAGGATATTTTGTAGAGAATAGGGCCAAGAAATGTCCCTGACTGGTGACAGGAGCCGCTGAGCTCTGGGAGCTGTGGGCTCCCTCTTCTGGAAGCCGTTGTCCCACCGATGACCACAAGGAGACATGCTCACCTGCTGACTGGAGAGCCCAGAAGTGCCCTCCACTCTAGGACTTCCTTTTCCTGCCAGAACCTGACTGGGAAGGACCCACGAAAACAGCTGGACCATGAGTGACCCCCATTCATGGAGGAAAAGATTAGTGAGTCGTGGCTGCCACACATGGAAACAGAAGCAGAAAGCAAGAAAAAAACAAAGCCAGCTGGCTTAAAAAGAAAATAATCCGTTTAAAAGGAGAGAGAAATGTCAGCACTCCTGAGACAGAGGAAGGAGGATCTCTGAGTTCAAGGCCAGCTTGGTCTACAGAGCGAGTTCTAGGACAGCCAGGGCCACACAGAGAGAGAGAGAAAAAAAAGACAGAGCAGAGAGCAAAGGCCCCGGCTGCCCAGCTTAAAGGCCACCGTGCTTTTAGTGGCTATGCTAATGGAACTTGTCTATCCACAGGTCTTCCATTCTGCATGGTGAGACGATTACAGACCACATTGCCTAAGCCTCTGACCCTGCAAAAGCAGAGGCTTGTGTGGCCTCCTTAAAGTCTTACAAGCAGCCAGTTGGGAAAGGCAGAAGCGGGTGCCCCGGGTCCCCGTGAGACCTTCCTTAGGGCTCCGGTCAGTTAAATCCATCTCCCAGCCAAGGGCAGACTGCTTTAAGAGGGAAAAAAGAACCAGACTGCTTTAAGAGGGAGAAAAGAGCCGGCGGCGGCGGCACATAGGTTTAATCCCAGCACTCGGGAGGCAGAGGCAGGCGGATCTCTGTGGGTTCAAGAAGAGCCTGGTCTACAGAGTGAATTCCAGGACATCCCCAGGGCTGTTACACAGAAAAACCAAAAAAAGAAAGTTCAGTTGTTCCGAGTCCACCGATGGCCTCGTTTCTGATTTCACTTTGCACAGCACACATTACTTAGCATGTTGGGAAGCCAGGGTTCCTGTGCTGACAGTGATGAATGGAATCCTACTGCTGGGGAAACAAGAGAATAAAACGGAAGCTGACTCTGCGAGCCAGTGGGAAGGCTGAGTAAAATCTACCCCGGGGCAGACAGAATACCGTTCGCCCACAACATACATGTGCTTCATTTACGTCTTGACAAAACTATCATTGCCCAAAAATATCCTAAGCAGAAAAGTTCATGGATACATTAATAATAAATACATAGTCATAATTATTATCAACTACGGAAACCTAACTTGGTGAATAGTATAACTTACTCTACCTGAAGTACGCTCGGAGCACTCACACTATAGCCTGCAGTGGACAAAATCTCCTCACACAAGCCATTTTATAAGAAAACACTGAGCATCTCCTGCACAGTGGAAAACAGAAAGGGTGTGCTGTACTTTCACATGGAGGTGAAATTCTAAGTCAAACCATCACAAGCCGGGAGCCAACCGTACACTCCAGAAGTGACTCGGGAGACCTGGGAATTCAAGTGGCCCTCTGGTCTCAAAACCATACAGTGAGGAGTTTTGCATTAATTATTCTATTGCCATTCTACTGAGGCGATATTTGGACTCTAAGCCTTATATACTTTTAGGAAGTCTTAGTCGCAGAGGGACACAGGCACCCAGCCCACAGACAGCATTTCATTACATGCCCCCCCCAGGAGTCCTTGGTGAAGGGGAGAAAGATGGTATCACCCTCAATCCCCACATCAGGGAACTGCTCTGAGACTTAGCATGGACTTGGAATAATTCTCTCACTAGAAAACAAGTCAAGGGGCTGGAGATGGCTCAGTGGTTAAGAGCACCGACTGCTCTTCCAGAGGTCCTGAGTTTAATTCCCAGCAACCACATGGTGGCTCACAACCACCTGTAGTGAGATCTGGTGCCCTCTTCTGGACTGAAGGCATACATACATGCAGGAAGAACACGGTACACAAAATAAATAAATCTTAAAAAAGGGTGCTGGTCAGCTGGAATGACTGTGGCTGGCTTCCCATGCAGCATTTGTGAGCTAATCACTTGAAACTAAGCTGCAAGTTATTATTATCTCCCACCTTGCCGCTGGGCTCCGGCACTCCACAGGGGAACTGAACCCACTTGCCACGGCAGTCCATGGAAAACCGACTCTAATTTCAAAGACAACTTCTGCCAAACTAAACCTAACTTCCAAGTCTTTAGAAGGAGCTGAATCTCCCAGGACTGGAAAATCTTAATGACACTAAGGCCTAGTCACTTTGGACTCCGGGGTCATATTGCCAATATCACGTAAGAGCAGGGATGAATAAAATAACTAGACTAACAATGAGAGAGTGAGCATTTGCTGACACATATAAAACCCCAGGCACCAAGCTGAACATTTTCTATGAAGAAGGATCAGCTAGCATCTCTTAAGCATCGTGTGTGTGTGTGTGTGTGTGTGTGCATGTATATATACACAGGTGTGCACGTGTATACATGTGTGCATGTGCATGTGTGATGTTTGAGACGGAAGCCAGGACCCCAAGCACTAACCATTAAGAAACACTCTTGGACGCTTTCGCTAAATGTTACTTCTACCTTATAAAATACTTTCTATTCTGGGACTCAAGGTATTTCTATTAAGAAAAAGAAAAGAAAGATTCGTTGCACATATGTTGTTCTTTTTCTTTTTTTCCCCTTTTTTTTTGTTTTGTTTTTTGTTTTTTTCAGAACAGTGTTTCTCCATGGCTTTGGAGGCTGTCCTGGAACTAGCTCTTGTAGACCAGGCTGGTCTCAAACTCAGAGAGGTCCGCCTGCCTCTGCCTCCCGAGCGCTGGGACTAAAGGCGTGCGCCACCAACGCCTGGCCATCTGGTTCTCTTCTTTTGTTTTTGTTTTTGTTTTTGTTTTTTTTGGTTTTACAAGACAGGGTTTCTCTGTATTGTTTTGGAGGCTGTCGGTCCAGCCCGGCCTCGAACTCACAGAGATCCGCCTGCCTCTGCCTCCCGAGTGCTGGGACTAAAGGCATGCGCCACCACCGCCCGGCCATCTGGTTCTCTTCTTTACTCGTCGCTGTTCTGAATTTCATCTTGAAGATTTCCCTTTGGCTCACCTTCCAATTCCAACAGTATGCGGGGCCCACATATAATTTCCAATATCAATTATATTTTTTCAGTTGTATATGTTTATTTTAGCCCATTTCTGAGGACTTGGGGTGGGGTTGCTTTGCTCTCATCTTTGAGACAGGGTCTCACTCTGCAGCCCGGGTGCCTCTCACTCTTGAATCTTCAGCCTCATAAGTACAGGAACCTCAGTTGTCCCGCTCCCACTGCCTCACGCTCACTCCTCACATAACTGAAGGGAAGAACAAAGGCAATTCTGAGTGAGGAAGAAGAGGAAGTCTGATTCCTCCACTTCCCGTTTTTCTTAGAATAGCCCTCGCTGCATCCGGTCATTTTCAGAGAGCAGTTTGTCGCAATGTGCAAACTCTGCGAAGCTAAACAGAAACCTGGGCTAATCTGGCGAGCCTTTGGAAGTATTCTGTGTTAAAATAAAGAAATAACACGGATTTTCCTTTCTTCACAAGCTCTTGATTGAGCAAAACAAGCCACCCAGAAAATGGGGGGAAAAAACTAAAAAAAGCCTCAAGCTCCCATCCCCAGAGGAAACCCCTGATCATATAGAATAGCTGCTTTACCAGGCCCCAAGCTCTAAACTAGGGGCTTCTGCTGTTACATAGTCTGATGGTGGTTTTTGTTGTTGTTACTGTTTTTCAAAAGATCTTTTATTTCTCCTGAATTGCAGAGATAGCAAGAGTGAACACAATTGTGATGGGCAGCTTACAAGATGACTCCGGGGTTGGGGAGCGGGGTCCCCAAGTGCTGGGACTCCCAGTGCACAGCTTGACTAACGACTTGGTCCTTAGAGTACAGGAACAGTGTTGCTTGTCCCTTCTGAGGAGCGTGACCGCCTTCTTCCCCAGGCTCCCCTTGGCCCTCACACTAGCCTTTGCTCGTCCTAATGAAGCAAGCTGTCACCCGAGGACCCAGAGATAGGGAGCTGAGAGAGATCCCAGTGCAGGCCCACCAGAAGCTACAGGGGACCACACTCTGTCAGCCGCCTCAGGTGGATTGCAGAAGCAGACCCTGTCTAGGTTCACCTTGGGGTGCCTGCGGTCCCAGCTGACACCAGATTGCAACTTTGTAACAGATCCCGAACAGGAAGACCTGTAATTCACACACACGTTCCTGACCCTGTTAAGTGGAGGGGCAACTTGTTATGCAGCAGCGTGTAACTGGTGCAGCTATAAGGAAGGACATCTACGAAACACCAACTCGGTCCACCGGGCTGCTTGTTTAACTCATGCAGCAACCCCAGGAAAGGAGGGCTAAACCCATTTTGCTAGTTTAGGGACTTGAGGGTTAGCAGTATGAGAGGCTGGCGTGCAACCAAGGAGGAGAGCAGCACTGCAGAGGCTTAGGGGACTATGAGCAAGGAAAACTACGGACATTGCTGGTCTAACAAAGTCGACTTAGGATGACTTGACGCTAGTGGCAAACCTAAAGTCAACAGATGAAGCCAGCGTGGTGACAAGCCACCCCACGCGCAGCAATTTGGTTAAAGAGTAAGTCTTGAGAGGAGACGCCAGAACAATAGACCAAAAGCAGAGAAACCGAGGAGGAGATGCCAGAAATAATAGATTGAAAGCGGAGACACTGAGGAGGAGATCCCAGAGCAATAGATTGAAGGGGAGACACTGAGGGGGAGATCCCAGAGCAATAGATTGAAAGGGAGACTTTCATCTCAGCGCTGCTTTGACTGGCATTAGCGCAGCTCCCTCAGGACCCCCGAGTCGTTTATCAAGTGCCTTTTCATTTCAGCAGAAAACCCTCCTTCGTTTGATATCGCCCCCACGCCCTGTGACTCAGCAGGGCATCCGACACAAGCCACCCGGCCTCTCCTGCCTGCACAAGCCTTGAGGACAGCGAGGCATTTGAGAGGAAACAGCAGAAGGGCCAGGAGCAGGGCTGCAGGTGTGTGACTGAGGAGATGGTGCTCCTTCCTCACTCGGGGTCCTCAGGTCATCCTCTTAACACCTGTAAGAGACGCTTTCACACGGGATCCCCGAAAGGGCTTTGGGGGAAATGCTGAACTGCAGAGTCTCAGACAAAGCGTCGAGACAAGCAGTGTGTGAGAACGTGACATCAGGGTCCAGCCTCTCTCTGTCTCTCTCTCTCTCTCTCTCTGTCTCCCTCTCTCCCTCTGTCTCTCTCTCTCTCTGTCTCTCTCTCTCCCACGTCATGCTCCCCACTCATTTCCCTGCCTCCTGTGAGATAGTAGAGGCACTGGCGGAAGGCTTGCTGTGAACACCCGGCCCCCAGATATGTAGAGAAAGGCTCCCTCCCTGCCACCAGGCTCTGCATCTCTCTCTTCAGAGACATCGCCGTGCTGTCTGCCTCTGGTGCTGGGATCTAAACTGTCCTTGGAGCCCCTTCCATGCTGCACCCTGCTGCCTCTCTGTCTGTCTGTCTGTCTGTCGTCTGGTAATTCTTCCGATAGACTCCTTTGCCCATAGAAATATGTCTCAGGGTCCTCCTGAACCACCCGCTCTGTCCAAAACCGAATACGGTGACTTACAGATGTCCCTACCTGGTTCTCCCTGGGGCTGTGCCCACAGCAACTACCCTGGCTTGCTACTGCCCCCCCATGTCATCTGCACTGCTTACCTTCCTTGTTGTTATAGGTCTTGTGGGCCACACTTGTCAGCTAAGAGAGGAAGGACTCATTTGGCTCACAGTTTCAAGGTACACTCCGTCGTGGTCAGGAAGGCAACAGGAGCGGTCGCGGCTGTGAGTGCGGGATCACAGCCAATGCTTCTAGGTCTACCGATTGGGGGACCAGAGAGTAGACGTAAGTGAGCCCAGGCTGTAAATCCTCCAGGCCCATCACCCGGTAGGCCCCTCCTCCTAACGGCACGCGGTTTTCCCCACGCACTGTGCCAGCTGGAGACTAAACATTCAGACACATGAGCCCATGGAAGACAGACACTTCACATTCAAAGCGCGACACTTTCCCTCTCTCCCTTCTGAAGCGGACACAGCCTGTTAACTCACGCATGGTTACACCAGAGTCTCGGCACCCCAAGACCCTGTGTGGTGCTTTGTCCAACCAGGAGAAACCAACGGCGTTGCTGCTGTGCACACCACTACGATCAAGAGGCAAAATAGAAACTCCAATCGCATCCAGGGCACAGCTACGTACGGAGAGAGCTGGAGTCCGCTCCTCCCACATTTCCCACCTCCATCTCAAGCAAACGCATGCCTCCTTAGTCCTCCGCCATAACATCCCTGGGATGTTAGAAACGGACCTCAGGGTTTCTAATGTCCACCACAGGCACACACATAAAAGCCCGTCATCTGACTGTTAACGTAATCTGTGCCCTGAAAGTTACTTCCCCTACTTAGAAGAAAGTTGACATGTGAAGCCTGGCAAAGGTCGCTGTAGTCTGGCGCCGAGGCCTTGCCAGCTTCAGTCATCATCTTCTGCCAAAAGCATCAGATGTGACCACGTGACCCCGCCTCATCCTGGGATGGGTATTCGTGTAGCGCTGGGAGCCGCGGTCATGGTTTGGAGGCACAGAAGTTATACAAAGTTATGCGAGCCATTGACCTGCCAGCAAATATGCCCGTCTACATTCCAGTTTTATAAAATATGACTGGTGTGATGAGGGAAATGGAAGATAACTGGATGGGTTAAGAAAGACAGTGACCTGCTCCAGGAGTGACATCTACATTCTAGCTCTTTCGGTATTCCCCTCCCCACTCAGCTCCCAGTTCTCTCCCGAGCAGTCAGGAAGACTGCAGTTAAGCTGAAGCAGCCCAGCCAGTTTACAGATGATGACTTGGTCGGAGGTACCGAAGGAAGTCTGTTTCTTCACTTAGCGGTTTGGTCAACTTCAGGGGCCAAGAAAGCTGTTACACAGGCCTCCCTGAACTCAGCACGTTTCTGCTCTGCCCCGCTCTGACTGCCTCACCTCAACAGCGGATTTGGAAAGCTGGCCTTCCTTATCCGTGAGTCAGGCCTCTCACCCAAACTAGCGCAGAATCTCTTTGCGCGTGTCTGTCATCCACAAACACATGCAGAGAAACCTGTGTCCCGTGTCCTCCCTCCGTGTGTGCGAAACTGACAGTCTCTCTCCAGAGCGTGGGTTGGGACCCCAGGAGGCGTTCCCAGAGTCCCAGCAAATGCCCAGCGTTCAGGATCCTTCCCCATGAACATACCTTCACACTAAGTGGCTCTAAACAGGAAACCGCGTGGCTGTGAACACCAGGGTCAGCCAGGGTGCACCCAGCCATTCTGCTGAGCACAGAAGACAGTGCGGAGCTTGAGGTTTTAAACTGCATTTCTTCTCCATGCTAGATCCCAAGCAGGGAACTGACGTCCCCTCCTCCCCCACAGCTGGAACACAGAGGCTCTGTGCATCGGGTAGTGTTCTGTTTCGGTCCTTCACAAAACCAGAGCAGCCTTGGCCAGCAGATCTCTCCCTCAACACTCACATCTTTCCAGACTCCCCAAATGGGTCCTCCCCAGCCCCCGGCCTGCTCAGTTGAGCCTTGCTGGTTAGCTGGCTACAGTCATTCTATCTAGGGAGCTCAGTTTCCAGAAAGACACTAACACAGTGAAGAGAAGATGGGAGCTGAGCCTAGAACACGCCTGCAATCCCGTGTGTGTGTGTGTGTGTGTGTGTGTGTGTGAGTGTGTGTTCTCGAACGAGCGCAAGAGACAGGGACACTAGCCAGAGGGGATGGGATGGGCTCCTTTGCCCCAACCCCCACAGCATCGCCCAGAAGTAAACATGGCTCGCCTCAGCATGGCCCAGAATCGCCAACTATTAACGGTACAGTAACGATTACCGAAATTACAATCACTCTATTTCAGCTTGATAGATCCAGACCAGACGCTACTCTTGGGGAAGATTTTGTTACCGAATTTAACAGAAGAAGCACAGAGACAGCTGCCCTAAAAGTCGAGATTCGGGGTGTCCCAGAGACACACCTTTCAGGAAAGAGTCTGATAAAATTGGTACAGGAAACAAAAATAAATTTTAAAGACACACACACACACACACACACACACACGCGCTCGCGCGCGCGCGCACAGTTCAAAGGTGCAGGATCTTGGAGCAGACACCCAAGTTTTCGATCTCATCTCTGTTCTTGGGTGCTCTGGTCTGTATAGACAGAGCAAGAGTAATCCTTGTCCCCTTGATTGTTCGAAGGTCGAGCTGGCAGAGGCTCGACAACTAGTGGTGGAGGGGGCAGCCTCAGCCTTTCAGAGGAACAAAGCTGATCTCCAGGCGCTCACTGGCGGGTAGCTGGCAAGAGCTCCGGCATGTGTGAAGGGAAATCAGCCATATGCAGCGCTGCGTGACAGGTTCATCTTAAAGGTGACGCTGCGTATGATGACAAGCGCGGAAGCGTGAAACAGCTCCTTCAAAGAACCCGGCAGACCATCTCCCAAATCCGGTACTGTTGGAACTCTGATCCTGCAGTGCGTTCCTCGTGGTGTGATAACTTTGCTGATGGTAACAGGTAAAACGGGCCTAAGATTAGAGGGTGGAGCTAGCCACGCCAGTCAGCCGTACAGGCGGGACAATGGTGGCACACACCTTTAATCCCAGCCCTCGGGAGACAGAGGCAGGCAGATATCTGAACTATACAAATTGCTCCAGTCTAAAAGAGAAACAGAGCTCCCACAAAGGTGACCCCAGCACCTGGGATCCCACGCCTGTAATCCAGCACTGGTGCTACCAGGACCTGAAGGCAGTCTGAGGTTACCTGGAGAGCAGTGCAGTCTGGAGATGAATCTGAGGACGTGTTCGCCCCTTCCAGTCTGAGCATTGGTAGAGGTGAGAAGTCTCTAGTGGCTGGCCACTTTGCTTCTCTGATCTTCAGCTTTAACCCCAGTGTCTGTCTCTGAGCTTTTATTATTAAGAGCAGTTAGAGGGGCTGGAGAGACGGCTCAGTGGTTAAGACCACTGGCTGCTCTTCCAGAGGCCCTGAGTTCAATTCCCAGCAACCACATGGTGGCTCATAACCATCTGTGATGAGATCTGGTGCCCTCTTCTGGCCTGTAGACAGAACACTGTATGCAAAATAAATAAATCTTGACAAACAAACCATTAGAATTCCTGCCACATCCTGGTGGTTTGTTTGTTTGTTTGTTTCACAGTGTTAATGGAAACATCTAGATGAAGGAATTGGCACAAATGCTGTAGCCTTCTCTTAGTTCCTTTACGTGTACGTACATCTTGTCACTAACACGCTTCTGCTTCAAATTACCGCAACTGAACATGGCCGTCACTTCTTAAACGGCAAGGACACATGTCACTGGGTACCGGGTCGTGGTTAGGTGAAAGCTGGGCGCTCAGAGTGTGCAGCTGTGGATAAATGTGGATACTGCACATTTCAAAACCTGGAGGGAAGTATTTTGAAAGCACGCACCACAAGAACGGACAAATGTCCATGAAGGTGATTACATTGACCTCAACTTAAACACTATGCAATGTACAAATGGGTCGAGTGTTATTATGCTGCCCCATTGACACACACATGACCTCTAATTTGTGTCAGTTAGAAATTAGTTTCTGCCCTCACTTTTTACTACTATCATGGTATGTCTGTGTGCAGGCGCACGCACGCCACCTGTACATACGCTGCCGTGTACGCGTTCCTGTCAGAGGACAATGCTGTGGAGTTGGCCCTCTCCTTCCACCTTTGCCTGAGCTCTGGAGATCCAGCTAAGACTGTCAGGTTTGCATGGCAAGCGTTTTTCACCTCCGAGTCAACTCAAATGCCTACACTTAAAATTTTTAAAATGAAGCCGGGCCGTGGTGGCACACACCTTTAGTCCTAGTACTCTGGAGGCAGAGGCAGGCAGATCTCTGTGAGTTCAAAGCCCTGTGTCAAAAAACAAACAACCAAACAAAAACGTAAATTACAGCTTCTTACCTCTGTGAGGTATGCAACCATTTACCTCCCAAAGCTGAGGCTCTGTTATTCGAGAAGCCCCCACTGGAGACGCCCTGTGGAAATGCCTGTGACCGTGTAGGCCTTACATGTGCTGGGTTTTGAGTAAGAACTATTGATTATTGGGGTTCAGCCCCCACTTCCTTCTAGAAACGATATACCTTTTATTGGGTTACAATCCGTGTAAATTAAAAACCATTTTAAGGTGTCTGACTTTGGGAGCTGTTGTAGCTCCCAAGCATTGCTGCGTGCAATGTATCCATCACGCAACAGCCTCTCCATTCTTCACCCGTCCCACAGGCCCTGGTGATCACATACGCCCACCTCTGCGCACCTACTTAAACTTCATTTAAATATAACCATACAGGGGGGCGTCTTTTCTGTCGGGTTTCTTTTGTGTAATGTCAGATGTTCAAGGTTCCCCTTGTCAGGGTACATTACCCATGTTTCATTCCTTGGTGCAGGGGTACCTGGGTGAGCGTCCTACTGTTGAACTGCCCCAGTCCCAGCCTCTTTCTCCCCTTTGGAGGCTGCGTGTTTCCCTGCGTGTGTATCCCCACAGAGACTTACGCAGCAGTCACTGTTAATGGACTTCCGGGCAGCCTCTGCCTTTTGGCTATATGAACAAGGCTGCCATGAACACTCGTGTACACGTATTTCCCTTGCTAGTGCCTTCTCCGGTATTTGCAGGTATACGCCCAGGAGTGGGATTCCCAAGTCCCGCAATTCTGGTTAACCCGAGTAACCACAAAGATATTGCATTCCACAGAGGCTGCACCATTTCACATGCCCGACAGCTGCGAGTAATGGGCATTCCAGTTCTTCAATCCGCTCACAACGTTTGTGGCGTTCTCGTCCCGTCCCAAGTCACAGCCATCTTCACGCATGGGAATGGAATGTCACGGTGCTTCTCATCAGCGTTGCCCTGGTGACACTGGGCATCCATTTATGTACTTGTTCACCTCTTCTATGTCCTTAGAGAAATGGCTACTAAATCCCTGTGTGACCTTTGTCTTCTCCGGAGACAGGGTTTCTCTGTGGCTTTGGAGGCTGTCCTGGAACTCTCTCTGTAGGCCAGGCTGCACTCGAACTCACAGAGATCCGCCTGCCTCTGCCTCCCCAGTGCTGGGGAGGGCTGACTCTGGGCACTCCTGGGGTGTCATGAAGTTGGGACTACGGTTCCAGACTTGGGCAACCAAGTAAATAAAACTGTCACAAGGACAGAAGGCATGGGTGGGAGCTGGTGAGGCTTTGTCCCCAGCTGACTTTTAATTTGGTGTTCCGTCTTTCTGTGTGGTATTTTAAGTGTACTTTATGTATATACCTGGTACTAGACATCAGCAGACATTTGAGCTATAACTCCCCCCACCCCCCACCCCCGTCTGACTGCGTTTTACCATTGTTGATATTACCCTTTTATTCACATAAGCTCTTTCCTTGACTGTTGTATGGCTTACGCATTTTTCTTTTGTGATTCATATTTTTATTGTGTTATCTAAGAATCTCCAGCCCCTTGAGTTACAATTTTTATGCAGGATAAGGGTCTACGATGACTGTACTTGGTTGTCAATAACTACGTCTGGAATTAACTAAAACCCAAGTGCCTGCGTACACCTGAGAGGGATTTTTTTTTTTTCTTAATCAAATCCTTGAAGTGGGAGACCCACTTTTACTCTGGGTATTCTGAGGTGGGAAGATCCACCTGTAATCTGGCCACACTTCTGCTGGCCACCTATGTGAGGACAGGGAAGGGGGGAGGAGGCTGGCTCCCTTTTCCTGCCTGCCCTGGTTCTGGATGGCAAGTCTATGTACTCACTGGCGTTAGAGCCCACTCCTTAGGGATTCCAGTGCACACTGAAGGCCAGCTAAGACATTCAGCCTGCAGGCTGATCGATACTGGATCACCAGAATTCCCATTGGCCGACAGTCATTGCTGGACCACAGCCTAATAAGTCCCCTTTCTCTCCTATATCTTCTGCTCCTCTAGAGAACCCTGACTAACACAGGGTCCAATTAAAACTCACGAATATTCATTTTCCCAGCATCATTGTTACAGAGATATTTCCCCCCATTGGATGATTGTGGTACTCTGGCCAAAAATCTGTCAACCACGGAAGGAGGGGTTTATTTCTGAAATCTCAATTCTGTTCCACTAGTCAATGTCTTATCTTCACATCAACACCGTTTTGTTGTTGCAATAAGCTTTAAAATTGGGAAATGTGAGACCTTCAACCTTCTTCACCCTCTACATTATTTGATTGTACAGAGCGTCTTGTCTGAAGCTGCAGAAAGGGGGTGGCTTTTCCGCTTTGGAAGTAATAGTACCGCCTCTGTGGACCACTCTAGGAAGAGCCATTGTCAGAACTCATCAGGTCTTCTAATTCATGAGCAACGATAGGGCCCCATTTACTTAGATGATCTTTTTTTTTTTTTTTTTTTTTTTGGTTTTTCGAGCTCAGTAGCTCTGTAGACCAGGCCGGCCTCAAACTCACAGAGATCTGCCTGCCTCTGCCTCCCGAGTGCTGGGATTGATTAAAGGCGTGCGCCTCCATCGCCCAGCCTTACTTAGATGTTCTTAGGTTTTGCTTGTTTTGTTTTTTAGCTTTCAGTACATCTTTAACTTCCTTGGCTAAATCCTACTTGGCCTTAGTATAAAATCTTTTTAATAACTGTTACGTTTGTTTGCTATTTCTTTGCCAAGGATTTTTGTACACACACACACACACACACACACACACACACACACACACACGCTTTAGTAAGGGATGATGCTGGTGTGCAGTCTTCTTGTATCTGTCTCCAGTTGTAGTATGAGGGTGACAGTGACCTCATAAGGCGAGTTAGGATGTGTTTCTTCTTGCCCTGTTCTTCTGGAAAAATCTGAGGAGCCTGCTGATATTCTTCTTTAACTGCTTGAACTTTCAAGCAGACTGTCTGCCCTGACCTGCTCTCTGGGAGGTTTCTCATCACCGATTTAATCTCTTTACCAGTTATGGGTCTGATGCAATTTCTTTCTTCTTCCCTTCCTCCCCTCCCCCCACTCTAGTTTTTTTCAAGACAGGGTTTCTCTGTGTAGCCCTGGCTGTTCTGGAACTTAATCTGTAGACAGGATGGGCTCGAACTCAGAGATCCACCTGCCTCTGCCTGGGATTGAAAGCATGTGCCACCTAGTCTGACTGAAAACATTTTTTTAATCTTAAAAATAAAGAATAATTATCAACGGAGTATGAATGGAGTAAATGAACTCCTTTTATACTATAGATATATCACAGATATAAAATGTGTTTAAGGTTTTATTGACCTCATTACTAGTGGAAAGCTGGAATGTTGCCAGATGGTGGTGGCGCACGCCTTTAATCCCAGCACTTGGGAGGCAGAGGCAGGCGGATCTCTGTGAGTTCAAGGCCAGCCTGGTCTACAAGAGCTAGTGCTAGGACAGGCTCCACAGTGAAACCCTGCCTCAAAACACAAAACAAAACAAAACAAAAAGAAATGAAAATTAGGGGGCTGGAGAGATGGCTCAGAGGTTAAGAGCACTGACTGCTCTTCCAGAGGTCCTGAGTTCAATTCCCAGCAACCATCTGTAATGAAATCTGTTGCCCTCTTCTGATATGCAGGCAGAACACTGAATATGTAATAAATAAAATAAATCTTTAAAAAAAAAGAAATGAAAATTAAAATTGGCATGTTACAATCCATTAAAGCAAGTGGACATGACAGGCATGGTGTCAGATGCCATTAATCCCAACACTTGGGAAGCAGAGGCGGGCGGATCTCGGTGAGTTGGAAGTCAGCCCGGTCTACAAAAGGAGTTCCAGGACAGCCAGGGCTGTTACACAAAGAAGCCCTGTCTTAAACAATGACGCAGCTGGGGCCTGCAGGTGGGCTGTGTCAGACTACTGCCAAGGCCCCTTTGACTCACAGTGTGTCAT